ATGGAGTGTTTTGTTATACTGCTATAGCGCTATAAATTGAACGTGTTTTTTTTTAATCGATCACCCGCGCGGGAGGAAAATGGCGGGAAATGCCAAACCGCTTCTGATCCGGCTCATTTCCGGTAGGGGCAAGCCCTGTGTGAAATGGCAGCCCTGTACCGGTTCACTTCAAAACGGATGATTGCCGGCTTGAAACCGGGTGAAACTGGGTAATGTGAAATTCCCCAGATCGACGGGTTTTGTTATGGCCAGATTGTTGGTGATGTGATGATAACGATTCTACAAGTTGGATTATGATGGAATCATAAGCCTGAATCAGGTCTACCGTCTCATTTGGTTCCTTTGCTAAAAGTAAGAACTTTTCCAGGCATCGAGGCTTCAAGACCTCAGCAGCCTTCCGAGACATTTCCTCAGACCAACAAATCCTAGGAATACTATGGGCTAACTCTCTTGAATCATCCCCTTGGAGCTCAGGATCTACGGCAGTGAAAGTTGGATTAAAAAGGAGGGCCAATGGAAAGTGATCACTTTCAGGCCGGCCAATCACTGAGAATGCTCTCACCTCGTCCCAAAGCGACGATGGGATCATTATATAATCAATCACACTGCTTCCTCAGGCCGAAGCAAACGTATAATCCCCAGGAGAGTCAAAGGGAGGTAGACCGTTTAAAACGATTAAGTTAAATCTCAAAGTGAGGAGGGCAAGCTGAATGCCCGCCTGATTAATAAATGAGTCTTTGGAGCATCTTAGGTCGAAAAGGCATCCTGATGGTAGATCTTCAGGATTAATACCTATTCTATCAGCCAGTTCTGCCCCATGTGATGATGAGTCTCCTGGAGCAATGGAATCCCACAGTCTAGAGACCACTCCGGAATAGACCCTGTCCTCTGTACTCATCAATGAGCACACCAGGCAGGTTATCAGCAACTCGTTGCAATCTCAGGATATCTCCAGCCACCACCTGGAGGTTGGCAATCTTACAAGTCACAGACCTTTGGCTGATAAGCTGGGTTTGTCTTACTTGTGTAGGCCTGTAAAGCTGCTGCTTGCCGGCAGTCGTCAAGCAGCAGCTGTACAAACACTTTTCCGGGATGCTTTAGGCTGATTCTTCATTGATAGGGTTGCCAGCTCCAGGTTAGGAAATACCTGGAGATTTTGGGGTGGTGCCTGAGGAGGGCAGGATTTGGGGAAGGGAGGAATGTCAAGGGGTATAATGCCATAGACTCCTCCTACCAAAGCGGCCATTTTTTCCCAGGAGAACTGATCTCTGAGGCCTGGAGATCAGTTGTAACCCCAGGGGATCTTCAGTCACCACCTAGAGGTTGGCGACCCTATGCATTGAGCAAGGGGTTGGGGAGAGAGAGAGAGAAAGAGAGAGAGAGAGAGAGAGAGAGAGAGAGAGAGAGAGAGAGAGAGAGAGAGAGAGAGAGATGGTAAGAGAGAGAGAGAGAGAGAGAGATTGGATTTATACCCCGCCCTTCACTACCCGAAGGAGTCTCAGGGTGGCTTACAATCTCCTTTCCCTTCCCCTCCCCTCCCCACAACAGACACCCTGTGAGGGAGGTGGGGCTGAGAGAGCTCTGAGAGAACTGCCCTTGAGAGAACAGCTCTGAAATAACTTGTGACTGACCCAAGGTCACACCAGCAGCTGCATGTGAAGAAGTGGGGAATTGAACCCGGTTTTCCAGATTAGAGTCCACCGCTCTTAACCCCTACACCAAACTGGCTCTCTCTTTAAGGGTGATGCCCCGGAAGAGCATTGTTTGGGAAGAAAGCTCAATAGGGATCGCCATAGAATTCGCCTTCCAGAGCTGCCATTTCCTCCAGGGGAGCAAATCTCTTCCGACCGGAGATCTATGGTTGTCAGTCTCCAAGTAGAGACCCAGACTGAGCTTTGCCTGGAATTATAACTGATCTCCAGACCTCTCAGGCCAGTTCCCTTGGGCTGACTCTGTGGAGTTACGTAAATCCCTGAGGTCTCTCTTCTCCCCACACTCTGTCTTCCTCAGGCACTGCCTCAGTTCTGCAAGGAGCTCTTTGCCTCAGTGGGTGTTGGCAAGTGTTGGGAAAGCCCTGTCTCTGCCTGAGACCCCAGGGAGTTGCTGACAAGACTGAGCAGGCTCGACTGGTGAGTCGTCTTGTGGTAAGACAGCTTAATCTGTGGTTGCCTAATGTTCTCGCAGGGGCCCAAGGGCTGCGGCACTGAGCACTTTTGGGTGGGTCTGGTGGAGGAACCCAGAACAAAAACTGCCTGTTCACTAAAAGTGTGCAGCCAAAAAAATATAACCAGAGGCAGCAGCGGCAGCAGCAGGGTGAGGAATGGGCTTGGCTTCTGCTTTTCTGGCAGTTGTCCAGAAAAACAACAACCCAACAACCCCAAAACACTTATCCGGACTGTTTAAGTCAATGAGGCTTTTGTTCGTTTCAATGAAGGAGAACTCCCAGTGTGGATTGGGTCCATTGTCCATCAGTGGGAGGCAGGCCCCAGTGGGATTTTTTTCTCCTCAGGCTCTGTAACATCTTAGGCTGTGCCTTCCTGGAGTTACTGTGGTCTGGCTTTAGTTGGCAAACATTATTCAGCTGGTGGTGGAAAAGGCCATCAAGATGCAGTTAATGTACGGTGACCCCATTGGGTTTTCAAGGCAAGCGATGGACAGAGGTGGTGTGCCATGACCTACCTCTGCATAGTGACCTTGGACATCCTTGGTGGTCTCCCATGAGGGTTGCTAGCTCCTGTTTGAGAAATACCTGGAGATGTGGGGGTGGACCTCAGCGGGGTATGATGCTATAGAGTCTGTCCTCCAAAGCAGCCATTTTCTCCAGGGGAAGTGATCATCAGCGCCTGGCAGGGCTCTAGTCGGGGGGGAGCTCTCAGGTACGGAGCTCCGGAAGAGAACCTCTAGGGGGCGGGGCGGTCACGTGGTGAAGCCCCGCCCCCTTCTTTACCCCGCCCTCTGCTTCGATCCTCATTCCGTTTGGGAATGAGGATGAAGCAGGAGGGTAAGTAGCCGGGCCTTCTGACACACTTCCGGTGATGTCAGGGGGTGTGGCCTTCTGTCACTTCTGGTGATGTCAGGGGGCGTGGCATATGCAAATAAGTTATGCTAATGAGTTATGCTAATGAGCTCCGGCAGCTCTTTTTCTACAACAAGACCCCTGGCGCCTGGAGATATATATTAAAAATGTTGTTGGTTTCTAATAGGGCTGCCAACCTCCAGGTGTTAGCTGGAGATCTCCCGCTGTTACAGCTGATCTCCAGGAAACGGAGGTCAGTTCCCTTGGAGAAAATGGCCGCTTTGGAAGGTGGACTCTATGGCATTATACCATGCCAAGGCCCCTCCCCTCCCCAAACCTCACCCTCTTCAGGCTCTATCCCCAAAATCTCCAGGCATTTCCCAACCTGGACCTGGCAACCCTAGATAAAACTCACATTCTTCCAACTTTTTTTTTTAGGGGGGGAGGACAGGTATTTGAGATGCCATGGTACATATGACAAATTTCCCTCTCCATATCACCTGGGCTTGTCCATTAGCAGAGAACTACAAGTAACAGTCATCTCCCTTATATATAAATGCCGAATGGTAGTGGCACTTCTCTAGAACATTCCACACGCTCCGGAATTGGTTGGCGCCCTGGTGTGTTACTCAGAATCTGTCCCTATCCACTGGCTGCATTGCTTGAGTCTCGCCTCCAACATTCTGAACAGTTTGCTGTTCCTATCCCCCCCATAGCTAGGCTATGTGACGACGGAAGTGATGTGACGACAGCAGGCATGCTGGGGGCGGGGCCATGGCCATACGAGGGCAGTCACGTTGGGCGCGTTGGGGGTGGAGCCACGGTCATCCGAGGGAAAACTCTATGGTTTTCCCTCGGATGATTGTGGCCCCGCCCCTGGCGTGACCGACGTGACTGCGTCACTTTTGGGTGGCGTGCTGACGCCGGGCACGTCGCGTGCACTTCCGGGTGACGTGGTTGCGGCGCGTGCGTGTGCTCCCGGAACGAAGCTGGAGTCCCCCGCTGTACATACAGCAGGGACTTGGCAACCCTACCCATAGGCACTCAGAACACAGAGGTTATTTGCATATGCAGCCTCATTGGCCTTTGCCTCGGAACACAGAGGTCGTTTGCATATGCGACTTGATTGGCTTTTGCCTCTAACATTCTAAACAGTTTGCTCTTCTGAGGTAAACTGTGTCCAATCTCCAGGTGAGGGCTGGAGATCACTCAGAATTACAACTGCTTTCCAGATGGCAGAGATCAGTTCCCCTGGAGAAAATGGTGGGCTCTGTATCCTTATATTCTGCTGAGGTGGCCTCCGTATGACAGCCAACGTGACGTAGCAGTCAGGGCTTCAGACCACGGGAGAGGCTGCAGGTGTGTGTGGGGTGGAAAGCTGAAGAGTGAGGGGGAAATAATGGTAGGTTGATGATTGGCTGGGAAGGAGATAGGGTTGCCAACTCCAGGTGGGAAATTCCTGGAGATGTGAGGGAGGGAGCCTGGAGAGGGTGAGGTTTCAGGAGGTGTGGGACCTCGGACAGGTACAAAGCCATAGATTCCACTCTCCAAGCCAACCATTCCCTTCTGGGGAACCATCATTGCCAATCTCCAGGTGAGGGCTGGAGATCACTCAAAATTACCACTGTTCTTTAGGAAGCAGAGATCAGTTCCTCTGGAGAAAATTGTGGACTCAGTGTCATTATACCCTGCTGAGGCCGCCACAGCAAATTGACACTGAGTGTCCAAGGCCGGGGCACCCGCCCAGAACCTCTTTCTAGAGGCCGTTGTATTTATTTCCACAAGGAGCCTTTTTCCTAGTTAGGAATAGATCAGGAAATGACTGGGTACTTTATACTACATGATCAGAAAAATCATGTCATTAGGTTATTCACAAGAAATAGTAATTAAAGAGGATCGTGAGGTTCTTAATGAATTTCCCAACTTTAGCAACAATATTAATTACTTCTGAGTGGAAAAGAAAAAGCAATAGCTCAATCCATGTCAGAACACTCTCAAAATAGACACACAGCTGTGGTTAAGACAAAAAGTAATTCTTGGTGAGAACGTGATAATGACTTTTTCAGTACGTACATTATGTTTGCAGTGTAAAAGAATGAGTAGGGATGCCAACCTCCAGGTGGAGCCTGGAGATCTCCCATTTTTACAACTGAACTCCAGACTACAGAGATCAGTTCCCCTGGAGAAAATGGCTGCTTTGGAAGGTGGGCTCCATGGCATTGTGCCAGGCTGAGGTCCCTACCTTCCCCATACGCTACCCTCTCCAGACTCCACCCCCAAAGTCTCCAGGTATTTTCCAACCCAGATTTGGCAACCCTACGAATGAAACTTATAGAGCTAATGGATTTAATGCCTCGGTTTGTGGTAACGGCCACATTCATTCTCTGTTGCGGCCCTGACCTTGAAGAAAGGCCTCTCTGAGGAAGCTGACAAGGCTCCCACCCTTCTGTCATTCTGCAAACTGCGTAAAACGGAATTGTCCAGGAAAGCATTTTTATAAAAGTATTTTGGCTATAGTATAATGGGAATGGTCCGGGAAAAATGCCTTCATAAAAGGAACAGGAATGTAGACTATGTCACTGTGTATGTTGTCTATTACCTGTTTATAGTAGGTTCGGGACGGAAGAAAGGACATACTACTTTACACAGAGAGTGATTAAACTGTGGAATTCGCTGCCAGAGGGTGTAGCGGTGGCCACAGGAATAAACAGCTTTAAAAGGGGATTAGACAGATTCATGGAGGATAAGTTTGTCAATGGCTACTAGTCATTGTTGGCTGAGGGGAACCTCCACATTCAGAGGCACTAAGCCTCTGAATCCCAGAGCCAGGAGGCAACATCAGGGGAAGGCCTCAGCCTCTATGCCGTGTTGTTGGCCATCCAGAGCAACTTGTTAGCCACTGTGTGAGACAGAATGCTGCACTAGATGGACTACTGGTCTGATCCAGCAGGGCTCTTATGTATTATCCTGTTCTTACTGCATCACTATTTTCTACTTTTGTAATACCATTTTCAGTATTGGTTGACATATACCTAATTTTTTTTGCTTTGTTTCAAATTTTTGTAATCCTATTCCTTTTGCATTGTTTATTAGATGCTTCATCCTACTGACCACGGTGGTTTACACTGGGCTATCCGCCTTGAGTCTCAGTGAGAAAGGCAGACTACAAATAAAATAAACAAATAGGTAAGTAAATCAATACAGTCATTGGCCCAAGAAGTGATGATGCCGATTGGTTTAGACTTAGAAAAAGGGATTAGACAAATTAGATAGGCCTCATAGATAGGCTCATAGCCATTAATTCGTGGTTCTGTAATGTCACGTCTAGACTACTGTAACACACTCTGCTTGGGGCTGCCCTTAAAGAGAACCCCCAGAAACTTCAACTTGTACAAATCATGGCTGACCGTTGTTTGTAGTCAGCTGGCTGGCAAGTACACATGACACCTATCTCGAATCAGTTGCACTGGTTGCCTACTTGTACTGAGCTTGCTAAGGCGGCAGTTCATTTTCTTGCCTGGGGCCCATAGGACCATCCGTGCATGAAGCTGTGTGCCAGTTACGTGCTTCTGAATACCAAACAAACAAGGGATGTCTGGTTGCTTCCTTGTCCTGCTAGTGGGCTTCCCAGAGGCATCTTTGCTGACACAGGATGTTGGACAGGGGACAGTCCTTGATTCTGATCTGTCCAGACTCTTCCTGTGTTAATGTTCAACCTTATGCTTTGTTTACATTGTTAAGGGAGAACTTTTAAATAAATATTAAGATATTGAAAG